GGCACAGCCTCTTCGGAGTATCTGAGGTAGCCTCAGGTCAGTTTCCCTGCCTGCCCACTGGATGAAGCTACTGGTCAGTGGAGGGCCTGGCTTTGCCCAGACCCCAGGCCCATGGCTGTCCTTGCCAGACTGACCCTCTGAGGTCTAGGCTTAGATCCCCTCCAGAGAACAGGGGAGTAGGGAAGGAACCTGTGGTTGCATGTGCAGGTCCCAGGCCTAGTGGCATGCTGGGTTGGGAACAGGAGACAGAAGGGAGTGCTGTGTCCATTCTCATATTTTTAGGCCTTTGGTTGGACAGGCCCCAGCCCTAAACTGATAAGGCAGCACAGGGGTGAGGAAGGCAGCCAAGGGGGAAATCAGGACAGTGGTCTGGCAGGAAGCTGACCTCCAGCCTGGACGAGCCACAAGGGCACCCAGGAGTCTCCTGGGAGGAGAGATACCTGGAGCTACCCTGATTGTTGGCGTGCTTCCCAGTTGTCCCCAAGGAGGACCAGTCCTCTGTCCTGCGGCAGACCACTGCCCCCTCGTCTGCAAGAGCAGGCTGACGCCTCTATGCTGCCCTCTGGGAGGCTTAGCTGAGAAAGGCCTTCACTAACTACAGAAATCATCATAGTAATAATTACAATCAAAATAGCTTCCTCGGCCCAGTCCTTACCGTGACCCAGACCCTCCTCAGTCGTACATCTGGGTTAATTGAAAGGACACAATACTCTCAAACTCTTTGTTTAAATATGAAACCTGGCAGAATCATGGGTTTTATTTTTACCTCCAGGCATGTGGTGAGAAGGGAAATTCCAGTGATGTTCTTCTGACTTAACAAAGCCACTCACAAGCAGTTCTGCCTTTGAAGAAACAGAGGCGTCTGCTTAAATATTAATATTATACTATGGCAACACATTATTAAACAGGACAGCCAACCGGAGTTACAGACTTTTTCAGAATTAAAGATGACTTTCTAGGATGTGAGAATCACCTCTGAAGTCAGGGAGTCTCACAAGACTCCTTTGTCGGAGATCATGTTTACAAGGACAGTTTTACAAGTAGTTTGTATCTGCCGTGCTGTGCTGTGGGACATTTCCCCGTCCGTATCTTGATGCATTCCGGGGTTGACTTGCAGAAGTTTACGAGAGTTCCACGTCAGCCCAGAGGCCATGAGAAGTGTTCTGGACAACTCACAGCTTAGCCTTTGTAATGGGAAAGAGCAGAACATAAGTAAGGGCCTGAGCGCTGTTTCCACTTGTACGGGCATTTTCTTGTTTAATCCCACGGACAGGGAGAGGGGTGTTGTCATCCCCACCTTGTGCAGGAGGAAACTGAGGCTCAGAGAAGTTCCCGACTTGCCAGGGTTATTCAAAGAGGAAGTCGGGGGCTCTACTGGCGTGGGTGGGACTGTGGCCTCCGTGGAGTGTGCTTGGGGCCCAGTGGCAGGGGGTGCAGGCTCCCGTGTGGGCTCTGTAGAGCAACTGTATTAGCTGTGTCTGTGGCTTAGAACAACATTCATTTAGTGAAGCCCAAAATGGGCCTCCCTGAGCTAACATCAAGGTGTCGGCCGGGCGACGTTCCTTGCAGAGCCCCAAGAGCAGTGATTTTCAAACTGTGTGCCAAGGCATACTGGTGTGCCGAGAGAAAAACTTTGGTATGCGTGAAAAATTTTTCATGATCACTAATTCAATTATTTTGCCCAGAAGTTCAAAGCACAGAAAGTATATTCTTTTTTTTTTAACTCTCTTATTTTGATCAACATAATTTAAATATGCCATAGAAGTTCAACTATGACTTTTTTTTTTGCAGTTTTTGGCCGGGGCCAGCCAGGTTTGAACCCACCACCTCGGGTATATGGGGCTGTCACCTTACTCCTTTGAGCCACAGGCGCCGCCCTGACTCTTTGTTTTTGATCAACATAATCGAAGTACGCCATAGAAGTTCAACTACAGGTTCAAGAGTGCCATGAGATAAAAAAGGCTGAAAATCACTGCTCTAGAGGAAAACTTGTTCCTTTGCCTTTTCCAGTTTCAAGAAGCCACCTGAATTCCTGGGCTCATGACCCCTTCTTCCGTCTTCAGAGCCAGCAGTTGCTTCTTCCAGTCTCTCTCTGACTCCCACGTTCCTGCCTCCTTCTTTCACATACAGGACCCTTTTGTTTACATTTCCCTCGCCCATATAATCTGGTATAATATCCCCATTTCAAAATCCTTATTTTCATCAACCTGTAAAGTCCCTTTGCCATGTAAGGTAGCGTATGCATGCATTCCAGGGATTAGGAAGTGGGTATTTTTGGGGGGTGTGGGGAGAGGAGGACTATTGTGCCTACCACAGTGGCCTTGGCCAAAAGGAATGACCTTTGGGATAACAGCTATTTGCTATTTCCTCCTCAGGAAGCTTGGAGGGATGAAGACGAAGCCCCCTGCCAAGACTCCAGCATGTCCTGGAGGCTGGAGACCCATTGAGGTAGGTATGCCTTCAGCAGAGCTCTGCTGCTTCTGAAGGAGATAGTGCCTGGGGGGATGCCACTGCTCGGCCCAGGACTCAGGATCACACAGACCACAGACCGAGGTTGAAAGCCCAGCTCTGCCTCCTCCCAGCAGCCTGAGTGTGGCTGAGATGGAGGAGCAGGGAGGGGCTGGAAGGGAGGACACAAACAGATGCGTCCACGTGACCTCATTTCACCTTTACCGCAGCCCTGCCGGGCAAACTTCTGCTCCCCCATTTTGCAGAGGTGGAAACAACAGCTCAGAGAGATCAAGCACCTTATCTGAGGTCACACAGCCGCTAAGTGGGGAGCCGGGATTTCCCAGACCCCAGAATTCCAGCGGCTGCCCACGCCACCTCTATGGCTGTCTGCCGCACCCTCACGCCTCCTAGGCTGTGGCTTCCTTAATGTTTTCTTTAAATAGACTTACTACTTTTTCACTTAAATGCATCTATTTTAAAATGAGACTATATTACTCCTATAAATGGAAAATCACAGAATTCATGGCCTAGTTATGTATATTTTTATAATGCACATTAAAATGAATTTATTACTATAAAAACGAAACATGTTCATCCATAAACCGCATGCAATTATCCCACATGCCTTCAGAGCATTTCATCCCTCCCTTTGGGAAGTGGCTCCAGAGCCGCTCTGGTTCCACCGAGTCAATGTTATTAATGACGATCACTTATTATGGTACAAAATCTTCAGACGACTTCTCGAAACAATTAAATGCAGACTCTCCAGTGTGGCCTCAGGTTTCTGCTGGCCCCTGCTTCCCTAATCGCCTGGTCTGACAATGCTGTTCTTGGAAAAGGCAGGACTTCTCTTGTTTCTCTGGCTACGCACCCAGAAGATGCCAGCATTTGAACCCAGGCCAGAAGCCTGTGGAACTCAAATTCTTTTTTTTTTTTTGAGACAGAGTTTCACTCTGTTGCCCTCAGTAGAGGGCAGTGGGGTCACAGCTCACAGCAACCTCAAACTCTTGGGCTTAAGTGATTCTCTTGCCTTAGCCTCCCAAGTAGCTGGGACTACAGGTGCCCGCCACAATGCCTGGCTATTTTCTGTTGCAGTTGTCATTGTTGTTTAGCTGGCCCGGGGCCGGGTTCAAACCTGCCAGCCTTGGCATATGTGGCCGGTGCTATAACCACTGTGCTACGGACGCCCAGCCAGAACTCAAGTTCTTAACACTGCACTATCTCACGCTTCTGTGATGTCAGGTCAAAATAAGGCCTATGAAGGAAAAGAAACAGACTTAAAAATGAAATGGGGGAAGGGCTTGGCTGCTCCCTCCCAGGAGCCCCAGGCTTACAGAGTCCCCTTGGTTTTATTGGCAGAAGAAGAAGGGGTTGATCAAGTCCTTCAGTTTTGTGGGTCCAGCAGAACAACTTCTGCCCAGGGGCAAGAGCTTAGAGAGCTTTTATAACCTCTCTCAGTGGCAGAAATGATGGCCTGCAGCAGTGTTCAATCAGAATCCACGATCTCACAGGAGGGTGGGGCTTCATGGAAGGGCCTGTCTATCCTCAGTTAGAAGCTCTGCATTGCAAGGGCCCTCAAGCGTCCCTACAAAGCAAGGCTTCTTCCAGGAATTTTGCTTTGTATTCTCTTCTTTAATTGCAATACAGTCCCTGAGATGGAAGTCTGGATCCTGGGGTAGCTTGCTTTAGTTGTGGAGTATTAATTCCAGCTTTTCCCGAGGCAGGTGGGGGGTGGGGGGTGGGGAGTGGGAAATTTCTCTGATTTTGTGTACCAGAAAGCCTTGAGGCACACCAAGGGAGGTTTGACTGAGGGTCTCCCAGTTGCTGTGCCCAGCCCAGGGCCTGACACACAGTTAATGGATTTGCTCAGTATTATTCTTCTGTCCTGGTTTGGAGCCTACACACCTGTTTTGTGCTCAGGACAAACACGCTTCTCCCCAAAGCAGAGATGGGATGGGTTAGAGGAAAAAGAGGTGCTTCAGGGGCAACTTCTAGAACCAGCCTCCATTCAAATCCTCACTCCTTTATTGCCTACCTGTGTGACTTTGGATCGCCTCTTGCTTAGCCTCAGTTTCTTCAGCTGTAAAATGGGTATAATAATAGTACTTCCCTCAAAGAGCTGAGAAGCAGATCAAAGGAGTTAATCCAGGTGCTCGCTCAGAACATGTGGGAAATGCTTACTAGACAATAAATACTACTCTTGCAGCTGGACCTATCTGGGTTTGAATCCTGCCACCAGCACAAACTACTAGGATTTTGGGTGAGTGCCTTGACCTTTTGGGACCTCTGTTTCCTTGTCTGGAAATGGATTTGGCTACAGTCCTGGCTTCCCAGGCTGGTGGTGTAAGCAGAGTGTGTGAACCCACACTGCCAGAGCCCTGGCGCAGTGAGGGTCCGCCCTCTCCAGGAAGCCCTCCTGGGAGTGGCAGCAGCTGGGGGGCCTCTCGGAGGCAGGCTTGGGCCCTTTCCCCTTACCCTCCAGCTGCCACGCCCCAGCTGTGACGCCTCTGCCCCTGCCTATCTAAGGGGCAGGAAGGAAGTGAGGAGGGCAGCTGGCAGCTTCCCCTTTTCTGCTCTGCTCTGGGCTCCAGGCTCCTTCTCCCTCAGAGCTCAGAGGAGGGACAGCAGCACCATGGCCCCCCGCACAGCCGCCATCCGCCAGACTTGCTGCTGCTTCAATGTCCGCATCGCCACCACTGCCCTGGCTATCTACCATGTGGTGAGTGTGCAGGCAGGCTGGGGACTGGCACGCGTGGGTGTGTCTGTGTGTCTATGGTCCCTTATCTACTGAGCCCCTCAGGTGGGATGATTGCTGTTTTCTGCCTCTCTGTGGGACCCTTGAGAAATCCCTTTCCTGCTCCAGGCCTCAGTTTCCCCCTCTGTCAAGTTGGGAGAGGGGACTCTACAGCTGCCCTGGAACAAGCAGCGAGGGAGCAGGGGCCCTTCTTCTGAGCAAATGTAACTGACATTCGGTTTGAGGCTCAGTTTCTGTCTCTGTAGAATGGGACAAAATAGCAGACTTGAAGGGGCAGCGGCACGGCAGACATGCAAGTGCTGGGGACTGGGAGTCTTGGGGGAATCCTGGGCTGGGAGAGTTGCCAGGATGTGAAGTTGGCCACAGGCCTGGATAGGTTAGGGCTTCTCGAGGGGACAAGTGAGACTCTCCCCGTAGTGCTTCCAGTGGGGAAGCAGGAGCCTTGTCCTCTTGGCTTATATTTCAGTCAAACCACCGCCTTCTCCTCACCAGAGGAAACTTTGGATCTTTGCTAATGCGTAGGGCGGTTTGCTTAGCCTGACCCAAGATAATGGCCCCCAGCATTTCTCTTTGGAAGCTGGTGTGCCCCAGCCCAGGAGGGAAGCCTTTGTCTCCTGTTAACTCGCCAGCCTGGCTCTGGGCAAGTCACAGCCCCCAAGGCCAAGGCTCTCACTCTGTCTGGGGAGGCTGAAGGTCAGGGTCTCCATTCTGTTCTGTTCAGACTCATCTCCGCCCCCCAACTCCTGGCCACATCCAGCTCCCCCAGACCTAGTCGACTTCCTTCTAGGGTGACTCAGGGCCTGTGGTTAACAGTTCCCTCATGAGCCTTGAAGGGCTTCCTCAATATTGGCCTTTATCCACAAGCTTCAGCGGGCTGCTGTAAAACTGTTCAGACCTGGTTGCATCTGCTTCCTGTCACAGGCAGAGTGGGCAGGGCTCCGCCAAGAGCATAGCCTTCAGAGAGGCAGTGCTGCGTGGTTAGCACACAGCCCCTGGATCAGACTCTCGAGTGCAATACTTGGCTTCCTTGCTTCCTAGCTGTGCAGACTCCTAACCTCTCTGAACCTCCATTTCCTCATCTAGAAAAACAGGAATGAGAATAATGATACTTCTCTGATAGGGTTTTTGTGACGATCAGGGAGTTAATATCTGCAAAGCACACAAGTCAGTGCCTGACACGTAGTGAGTGCTTTATTATTGGTTGTGCATCAGACACAGCACCTGCTGTCAGCACAGCTGGAGTCTAGCTGTCAGATCCCAAAACTCTGGTTTTGGGGGAAGCTCAGAGGTTGTCTTGCCCAGCTCCTGTCAACACAAGAGCTGAGTGAAGCAAATGAGCCCTTGGCTTCCTTGTGCCCAGTCTCTAAGACTGTGCAGCAATCTTGGAAGGACAGAGTGGTAGGCAGGGGCATCCCTGGGTCCTTACCCCAGCTCTGCCACTAACAGGCTGTGTAGCCTTGGGTAAGTCTCTCTCTGGGCCCCAGTTTCCCCTTTATAAAGTTAGGGGAAAGGGACTGTGGAATGACTAGAGCTCTCAAACTCTGAAGCCTCCAGGGTCCAGACGGGTCATGTCAGTGACTGCTTAGGGGCAGATGGGTCAGCAGGGACATGATGCTGTGCAGGCCAAGCCCAATCCATCTGCAGGCTGCCTGGGTCCGGAGACTGCCCTGAAAACTCTGGACTGTGTCCCTCTTGAGGTTGTTCTTGATCACACCCTCTGAAGTCCTCACCTATAAGTGGTTATGTGATAACCAGCTCCTGCCCACAGAGCTGGAGAGTGTGTGGGCCCCAGTGATCATGGAAGACGTCTCGTAGGTGGTGTCGTTGGCAGGAGGTACAGGCAGAGTTTGGTGGTGGGCAGTATGGAAGGGGAGGAGGAACAGATGAGTAAATGCGTGTGCGTGCGTGTGTGTGTGTGTGTGTGTATGTGTGTATCTTTGTGTGTGTGGCTCATACAGGGACACGACAGAGACCAGCCTGGAAGGTGGGAAGGAGAAGGTGAGGAGGACTTTGAGTGACAATCTAAGGACTTGGATCTTCCCTAGAGTGCCCTATTGATATTTTGGACTGGATAATTCTTTGTCATGGAAGACTGACCTGTGTGTTGTAGGAGGTTTAGAAGCATCCCTGGCCTCTCCCTGCCCGATCACCAGATGCCAGTTGTGCTGCCTCCCTTGCCCCGCCAGCTGTGATAACTAAAAATGTCTGTCAATATGGGGCACCATTGCTCCCCAGGAAGAATGACTCCTGTAATGTGAGTCGGGGGGGACCATGGGATGTTGTAGAGCAGGGGAAGGAGCGAAAAGAACAGAATAACCTTGATGCTGTATGCCTGGCCCGGGCTGCCGTCTCTGGGCTGTGTCCTCTGTTGGCTCTGAGAGGGTGGGGATTATCTACCAGTCCCCTTGGAGAGAATCTGCTCTCCTTCCCTGAAAGGGCAGGGTCTGGAGCTTTCCTGTCACCCATAGGTCGGGTAGCAGGTGTGCCGTCAAGACCTTGAACATCTGGATGGAAAAAGAGAAGCTGTGGTCCAGATGTGCCAATAACTCATGCTAGTTGTCATCTGGAGCCAGCCATGGGTGACAACTGTGTACATCGTGAGCTATTTGTGGACTGGGCCCCTCTGGGGAAGGTTAAATCAGGCGCTCGCCGTCCTGAGACAGCACCTCACTTTATCAAACCGTGGGGCCGTTATTACACAAGGATCCTTTCTTGTCTGACGGGGAAAGTGGGTCCTCGACTTCTGGCTGTGGGAGCCTCCTTCTCTATTTTGCTAGGTTTCTAGAGGATCTCTAATCGCCTAAACTTGCACATGCTTAAGGATGCCAGAGAACTTTTTAAACATTCTTGGGTCCTGGCTTGTCGTCAACCTAAAGCACATCCTGAGGCAATGGCAGGAGGTGGAGAACCCCCAGAAAACCCTTTGGCTCAGAAATACATCCCTCCCCGACTTCTTCTCCCCAAGCTGCCTGGAATTCCCCCAGGGGGAAGGCATCATCTGGATAGAAAACTTACACCTGCTGTGATTTCAACTGTGGAGACCCAGGAGACATCCAACTAGAGGAGGAGGGAACAGGGCTGACACTAATGGGGGTTGTCTTCTGGGTTGTAGGATTGCAAAAGCTCGACTTTTCTCTACTTTCCTGTATTTTCCACATTTGGCACAATTAGCTGTACTCAGAATAATATTAGATTTACAAAACAGCTGTGAACAAGGTTTAGAGCAGGTGTCCTCAAACTACGGCCCGCGGGCCACATGCAGCCCGCCTAGGACACTTATCCCACCCTCTGGGTGTTTTTGTCACTGCTGCCTGTCCTGTTTAGCAGCTGACTCGTCCCGGAGCCTGCAGTCCAGCCTTCCAATAGTCTGAGGGACAGTGAACTGGCCACCTGTTTAATAAGTTTGAGGACCCCTGGTTTAGAGAGTTGCTGTGTGTCCAGTGCCTACTTCTCTGTCGTTAGCATCTGATGTTGGTACAGCACATTTGTCACACCTGGTGAATGACTTTGATGTGATGTTATCTGCAGAAACCCAGGCTGTGTCCATACTCCCCCAGCTTTCTCCTAATCTTTTACTGTTCCAGGGGGCCACCCGGACACCACGGTACGCTTAAGTCTCTGTGCCTCCTTTAGCTTCTTCTTGTGACGGTTTCTTATACTTTGCCTTTTTTCAATGACCTTGACAGTTTTTCTTGCCATTTTTTTTTTTTTTTGGAGACAGTCTCTGTCGTCCGGGCTACAGTGTGCAGCAGCGTCAGCCTAGCTCGCTGCCACCTCCAACTCCTAGTTTCAAGTGATCTTCCTGTGTCAGCCTACCCAGTAGCTGAGACTACAGGTGCCCACCATGGCGCCAGGCTAATTTTCTGTGTTTAGTAGAAATGGGGTCTTGCTCTTGCTCAGTCTGGTCTTGAGCTTCTGAGCTTAAGTGATCCTCTCACCTCAGCCTCCAGAGTGGTAGGATTATAGGGGTGAGCCACTGCACCCAGCTGACCTTGATAGTTTTGAGGAGTACTTGTCAGGCATTTTGTCCAATATTCCTCAGCTGGAATTTCTCATGATTAGGCTGGGATGACGTGCTTCTGGGAGGAAGACCACAGAGGGAGATACCATTCTCAGCTCATTGTATCAGGTGAACATTCTGGCACCATGACTTACCACTGTCGATGGTGACCTGGAGCACTGGCTGAGATTTCCCCCTTGGAAAGTTACCATTTCCCCCTGCCCAACTCCCTTTCCACACTGTATTCTTTGGAAGCAAGTCACCCTATGCAGCCCAAACTCAACCAGTGGGCAGTCAGACCCCATCTCAACGAGAACAGAGGAGCCACGGGAATTATTTGAAATGCCTCATAGATTTGTCTGCTCTCATCATTTATTATATGTGTAAATAAATATTTGATTTACTTACATCAGCAGGGACTCATGGATCTTTATCGTATACTTTGGGTTAGGATCTGATGGCACTTTATTTTGTTGCTCAAGTGTACTACTTTTAAACTAGGAAAAACAAAAAGTAACACAGCCCTTATGACTCAAAGAAGGAGCCTCTGTTGCCCTGAGCTGAACGCAGACACATTCTCTAATACAGTATACCTCTGTGTGTCCAGCCCCAGGACAGGGCACAGTTAAGGGGTTCCAATCAAGGAACAACTGTGACAGGGACAGTGGATGATACTGCTGGCTGTTGTGGGGCACAGATGAAGGGCCTTATCCCTGCTCTGGGATGCAGCAAAGGCTTCTTGGAGGAGGCCTGAGTCCTAGAGTGAGTGGCAGTCTGCCTGGGCATGTTGGGAAATTGGGCCAGGTGGTGAGTGGAGGCTTAAAGGTAGGACAGGCTCTATGGCGCTTTGGAGATGCTAGAGGCTTGTGACGCTGGGTAGGGGGATGGCCACAAGGCGTGACTGGACAGGAAGGTGGAGGTGTCCCTAGGGATGAGATTGGGCTGAGCCTCTCACTTCTTTAAG